TTTGAAAGAGTTTTGATATATATTTGAAAGTGTGATTTTGAAAGAATATATATTTGAAAGAGTTTTGATATATATTTGAGAGTATATATATATATATATATATATATATGTTTTGATATATATTTGAGAGTATATATATATATATATATATATATGTTTTGATATATATTTGAGAGTATATATATATATTTGAAAGTGTAATTTTGAAAGAGTATATATTTGAAAGAGTTTATATATATATGAAAGTGTAATTTTGAAAGAGTTTTGATATATATTTGAAAGTGTGATTTTGAAAGAATATATATTTGAAAGAGTTTTGATATATATTTGAGAATATATATATATATTTATGTTTTGATATATATTTGAAAGTATATATATATATATTTGAAAGTGTAATTTTGAAAGAGTTTATATATATATATATATATATATATATATATTTGTAATTTTTCTTCCAATAAAAATATTTCATTATTTACCTGTCGAATTACTAATTTCTAATATTACAGGATGAAGCCGAGTATCTTTGCTTACTCAATTTTATTCGATACTTAAGTGATCAATAGTGATGATATATTCAAAAATGTCATTCCTTTTTGACATTATTCAATGTGCGAAGCACTTTACTGTTTATATTACTGTTTATATAAATCGCTAATTCTTAATACCACAGGATAAACTTTCTCAAAAAAAAAAAAAAATCGGTAGAGAATCGCTAAATTTTACATCCAGTTATTTACAAAATTGTTCATATCTTGATGAAAAGCTGTCGATATTTTAAATTATGCTACTTCCTGAAAAAAGAAAAGAAAGGATCGTACAGCAATCCACTTATTAAGTCTCATTTTAAAATGAGATTAAAAGATTAAAAAGATTCTTTTACTTGTTTCTTTAAAAAACATAGAGGATGGCAAAACGTTTACCATTTTTCGTTCTCCTCGCGAAATTTAAAGTATCCTCAAATTTTCATCGAGTACACGAACGATCGACATTTATAGCTAGCAGCGCAAATACGAGTTTAATAATTCATTCAACGATCTGTTATTTAAAAAAAAAAAGGGAGAAAAGAATCTGAAATCCTTTAAATGTTCGCGCGACTTCTTCCATTCGCCGGACACGATTTCCGCTCGCAATTGACCGGGCGAGGAGGGTTTCTTCCTCTCGGTTGGAAAGGTAGAGTAAAACGCACGAGCCGGATCGAGCCTTAAGTGGCCGTTCTTTAAAGCACGACGCGCAAGAACAAAGGAAATATCCTGCGACTTTCGATGACTTGATTCCCGATGCGGGTGCAATGATGCATTTGTGAGGTGTCTTTTATTCCGCGCGAGTCGATCCTGTCGTTCAAAGGAGGAACAGGCGGAGACAGCCTCGGCGCAGAAACCGTATTCTTCACTTGGTCTTACACCATCAAAGAAGGAAGAAGAACCAGGGCCCCGAGGAAATTATCGATGATTGTTCGTTGCTGGCCTTTGGACAATTTTCCGCGAGTTATCGCCTCTTCTGCATAGAGCGTTCCAAGTTTTCTAAAGTTGCTTCGTTAGTCGTTAGATCTTCCGTTGCTGAGCTCTCGACGATGTTTCACGAAAGTTAGCATTCCTCTTCTTAACTGATATTCAAATTAACTTTTGCGAAACTGGGTTAACTTTTTGTTTTCTACAGTGAGCGAAAGATGGTTGTGTACTTGGTCAGAGGATGATTAGTGAAACAGTAGAAAAGATGATCGGTAAATATTTATACTAGGAACAAATATGTCTGTCGTCTAGTTAATTAACAATTTGTTACAGTACCTATTGTCAACGTGAATTAATGCAACTGGAATAACATTGGCAAACACAAAAGACGCAGGTGAACCATAGACAGCACTGCACGGAGGTCGTAGAAATTACAATCGCAGAAACAATCGCGATGT